TTGTCAAGCTTTACCCATAAATTACCATTTTGTATCAATTACTATTTCAAATTTTTTCCCATATATCACTATTACTATAGATTCTCTTTTCACTTTATATCAAAATGATTCAAACAAAATTTACACAAACATTGAAAGGTGTAATTCTTAAACTATAGGTCGATAAAATTACATAAATTTTATATTAAGAGTTACGATGACGAATCACGATTTAAACATTTTGTTGCACAACTTTAGTAAATTAAATAATCAAAGTGTAACTTCCTTTTTTTTTGCTGCAAATTGATTTGTTAAAATTGAAATATTTTTGTTTTCCAAAAATGATAAATGTTTGTGGTTATTTTTACATCCCTGTATCATGTGAATTCCCATTTCTATCTATATTTTTTGTTCAAAACATCAGGGTTGAGCGAAGCAGTTACTTGACCAAAAGGAAATCGTGTTTCGCTTTAGATGTTTTTGCACAGTGTCCATCGTTGTCCACCGATAGGTTTTTATCTTGGTCTGATGTTTTAGACCGTTCAAAATGACCAAAAACTTATGGCATTGCCTTGGAGCATTTACTTCAGATCCCAGTTCGTCAAAGACTTGTCACACAACGTGTTAGATATTTTCGGGTCACGAGACCAGGATTCAAAAATACTTTCATAAACAATATATACAGAATTTTGATTGTTCGTGTTTTTGATTTGACCATTTGAGAAAAATTTTATTTTTAATTTCCTTTTGGAGAAGCGGATAAATTTTTATTTTGATTTCATTTGATGATCTAGCTAGATAAGAAAAAGTTAATTTTTATAAAATTCGTAAATGGAAAATTCCTTTCGGAGAAAGCAAAACAAAATCCACCGATTATCTTTGCAATTTATTTTTCTTGTAAAAAAAAATCATGGTTTAACAATCGAAATTACTAAATTTTGATGTTTGCATGAATTTTATTCTACTAAAAAAAAAAAAAAAAATCCAATTGATCCAATTGACCTTTTAATCTGGGATAAATAAATAAACACGAGGAAAAGATCAGAACAAGAAAATCTTTTTTTAATTAAAAAAAAAAAAAAAACTTTGTTGATTTTTCTAACAATTAAAATAACTTTTGATTCACACGAAGTTTTTGCAAAAGGTTTTTTATTAAATTTATTAAATTTGTGAACAATTTCCCTTTGTATGTGTAATTTTTTTTTTAAATAAATTATTTGCTCAATGTAACGAATGAAATTAAAAGTAACGTGTAAAGCCAAATCATACATAGAACGCCATATCGGCATTACGTGATTCGATCCTCGAATTCGAATGCAACGTAAAAAGAAAAACCAAAGCACTTTTTTTTGCGATTTTTGGTCCACAAGCAGGTCTATTTATATGTTTTCGTAGTAATTTATTAGACTACTCGATTAACGCACCATTTGGCCACGAGGTGGTCTATTTCGTTAAGAATCGCATCATTTGATCGTGAATGCACAATAGGATAGGATGTTAGGATGTTTCGCATCCAGTGCTAAATTTTTGATGTCGAATGAATATATTATATGTAATATTTACATGGTCTAATCTATTTCTTATTTTGGATCTTTACCATTACTATTACTCTCGTATGTTTATTATTGTCCAATGAAATTAACCGATAGTTGTATTTAAGATTGCTCAGATTGATTATCAAGATAACATACGTACGTAACTTATTTTTTTTTTAAAAATTATAAAATAATAATAATTTTATGCCAAAATGGTAATTGATTCAACAAAAACAACTCCAGAGACGAAGAAACGTGAACGTTCTTACACTGGAGGGCCAGGAAAGGATTTTTTTGCAGACAAAAATTATTCAACTGTCTGTCTTAGCTTATGGGAAAAATACTCTGTTCAAGAGCCAAATGGTATAAACCCGATTAATTATTATAAATAATTAATCACAATGTAAAAAAATAAATTTAAACCCGATTATCAATTGAAAATCAGATAAAGAAAGTTTTCAGAAAGCCTTTGTCAATCATGTATCAACTACACTTGCTAGATCCATTTACAATGTTGATAATTTTAGTGCTTATCAAGCAACTGCTCACACGTAGGTTTAGTTTTTGATTTTTTTAAAAAATGATTGTAATTCATTTATTATTACATATATGATGAATATGTGATTATTTATTAGCGTTCGAGATACATTGATTAAGCGTTGGAATTTTACTCAACAGGTTTGTTTTTTTTGTGTAAAATAAGAAAATAAAAAAAAAAATTTATTCATGCCTCTAATTGTTTAGGAACATACTGAAGTTGATCCTAAGCGCGTTTACTATTTATCAATGGAATTCTTGTTGGGTCGATCATTGGACAATGCTCTTCTTAATTTAAATATGAAAGATGTTTGTGGAGGTTAATTAATATAACAATAATCTAGTAATTAATTGATTAAATTAATTAATTTTTATCCTATTAATATTTACATATTTGTGTGTGTGTATTATAGAGGGAATAAAAGAATTAGGATTTAGTATGGAGGATGTCCTTGATCAATAAGTAGATGTCTTTTTCCTTACAAGATTTATATCAAATATAATTTGCATATGTCTTGGTAAAATTCGTGAAACCATAGGAACTTGCCATTTCTCCATAGCTTCAGGAAGTATAGTGTGGTTTGTAAAAGCAAATGTTTTGGTAACAATACCCCATGCTTCATCCCAACCA